AATAAATGATTATTTAAATAAAATATTATTTGTAATTCATCTATACTTGAACTGACGTTTCAAATTAATTTATTTTTTGATGAAGAAACATAAAAACATTGTTATTTTTATACTCCGGGGTAACATAATTGTATATATATTTGGCTCGGGATTTTTTGTTATGGGAAGTTACCACGTACCCATCCCAAATACCAGACCGAGCATTCAGTTTGGTACGGTACGTTTCTTTTTCGATAAAGTGAGGTAAACATTTCGTGTTATCCGTGACGGTATCTACAACGGACTTATTTCCGTTGCAGATAATTAATTAAAATCGGGTTATCCTCTTTTCGATCTCTAGACGAAATCAGTTCACAAATCTACACCTAGCCGTCTTCCGTCCACCCAACTTCGACCGACACATCTCTTCCGCGACTTTCCTTGACCGCTTGCCGCCATCGCACGGTTCATTGACGCCGTGGTGCTCGTCCTCCTTGCCTCGCCGTCGACCGCGCAGCGAGTGTCTCCCTCCTCGTCTCGCCTTCGACAGCCAGTGTCTCCACCCCTCGCCGCCAGTGTCTCCCTCCCTCCTCGCCGCCGCCGCCAATGTCTCCACCCCTCGGCGCCGCCAGTGTCTCGACCGCCATCTTCCCCCACCGGACCTCCTCTTCCTCTCAAGGTATTTTAGTTTAATTTTATACAATTTATTGTTATTGTAATTTTTTGTGAAATTGAATTTGTTTGTGTGAAATTTAGTGCATTTTTGGTGAAATTTAATTGAAATGGTGTGAATATGAGTTTAAATTGCCATGAAATTGGGTAAAAATTGCACTAGTTTTTTTGTGAAATTGATAGCACTTAAGGTGTAATTTTTGTTGAAATTGTGTTAGTTAATTTGACGTTTATTGAGAATTTAAGTAAAATTTAGTTGAATTTTGTGATATATGTAGTCAAAGGATTGTTGTTTGTGATTTAATTAGAGGAGATACTTGAAATTGAGTATCCAGCTTTGCCACTTAAACGTTGTGTCTTGTTTAAGTGTCGATGGTTCGATCCGAGGTTGAATTGCGGGACACGAATACACAAGAAGTATGGTTTACTTGTACATCAGGTATGCAGCTCTCCTCTTAGAGACTAATATGGTAGAAGTTTCAACGGATAAGCCATTAGAGTGATGTTTCATTTATCACAAAACTAAAACTTAATGTCTAAGCTTGTTAATAGCTGTTTTTAATGCATGTATTATTGTGTTATTATGTTAATAGCATCTAGGGTGGGGGAGAGTATTGAAGAAGAAGAAGAAGGACCCTCGGCCATTTGAGCAGCTGAAGAAGGTAAATTAGTAACGATTTTTCTACGAAATCGTATCAACTTCTGTGGAGGTTCAATTCCTTTTTCTGAAAATATGAATCGATTGGTAAGATATATTTTATAAAATAATAGCTTTGCACTTGTTATTTGGTGGACACTAAATTTAAAATGTAATGGAAATGTTCATTGAAACTTGAAGGCTAAGAAGAAAGGGGCGCCTGTGCCGTTGGATGAGGTTATCACCCACACAAAGACAAAGAAGCACAACGGAAAGACTTAGGTGGATCCGGGACATGCTAAGCTACATGTACTTTCTGTAATTTGCAAAACAATTTAGGTTCATGCTCATAATGTTGGTATTTTTGTCTTAAAACTTCTAAAGGGTGATAATGTGTTTGCTTTCTTGTGAAATTGAATTGTTCTTGTTGACGTTATTCTTGTTGTTGATGTTATTGTTAATCGTGTTGCTATTATTGTTGTTACGTTGATGGTGTTGTTGTTGTCGTATGACACTATTTTTGTTGTTGCGTTGATGGTGTTGTTGTTGTCATATGACACGGCTTTTGTTGTTTCGTTGATGATGTTGTTGTTGTCATATGACACGGTGTTGTTATTAACTTTACTTTCATATATGGTGACTACAAGCAGGAAATATGGTACTCGCTAGTCAAGGGCCATAACGCGTGGTGGTCCCAAAGTGGTGAAATACAAAGTCTAGAGGGGGGGGGGGTGAATAGACTTTGTTACAGATTTAAAATCTTTTTCGTTTCTTTTGAAAACGTGAAAATGAGTGTTAATCTAGAGTTCTTGTGAACTTTAGATTGTGTGCGGAATTTGGTGGGTAGAGTGAGCAGTAATCAATATGGATGGGTTAGTTTTCACAGTTAATATAATTGCGAGTAAGAGTAAAGATAAAAGAGAGAGAGACACGCAAACTTTAACGAGGTTCGAAGGTGGGGTAATCCTTCTACGTCCTCAAAATCCACTATGTAGTTGGTTGTTGAATAATGAACCAACAATTACACTTGTGTGAATTTCTGCACGGTATATCTTCGCAAGGCCAATGTTGCTACTGCACTCGTGCTGGCTTTGTTGTTCCTTCGAAGGTCAAGCTTCTTCAACAACTGCAATGTCCGAACAATAGGACTTGCAAAATCAACTTGTAAGAAAGTTGATCTACCCCCTTTCAATCAAGAAGTTTGATCAAAAGTTGTATCCTTCAACGTGGTGTGGTACTTGAGGCAAGGAAACCTTCAAGTGTTTGCACTATAGCTCTTTGGAAGGAGGAGGAGTTTGCTTCTAGATAAGGAGTTTAGAAATCTCTCTTTATCAAGCTTTTTGGGCTAACTGTGAATGAGATAGCTTTGTTGTTAGAGATTGCTTCGTTGTCTATTCATTCATTCACACTTCTCCAGTCTTCCAAGGGTGCTATTTATAGCTGGATTGGATAATCTATCCGTTGAATCATAATAGACTATTCGTTGCATTTGCTGGCTTCAATTTTGAATGAAGATTGCGTTTTGAAGATTCCTCATTGGAATGGGTGTTTGGACATACCCAATTGTTTGAGGAGGGATTCCTTTTTTCACAGAATCCGTCTTCTAGCTGTTGTTCAAGAATTCAGAACTGTAGCACTTTACTCTGTTTGTCTTCTAGTGCTTGTTTAGGAATTCTGGGCAGGCTCTTTAATTTTAGAGGTCCAGACTTTGTCTTCGAGTCATTTGTTCTTGAATCAGCATAATTATCTTCAATCTAGGCGTTGAAAATCAAGAGATTGATTTTTCCTTACCAACGGGTAGAATTTCATCATTCAACACTTAGATAATTTTTCTAAGTCTTTTCTCACTTGTCCGCTTTCTGAGAATTCTGGTCTTCAATGAGTCTTCCGATTCTTAGCTGACAAATCTAGAGGAGTCATTCTCAGACTTCCGGGTGAGAAAGAGATCCGCGCTAGTCTTCCGATTTGGATGACTTAGCCTTCAGCGGGTTGTAGCGAGACATCCGGTTCTTATGTAGTCTTCCGGATCAGAGGATTTTCATTTGCTTGAGAAATCCTTACTTGTCTCTGACATTTCCGATCAAGATATCCAATTTCCATATCACTGAATTTGATTAAGTCTTTAGGCATCAAAACGCTTAAAGAAATATCACAGCTTAATTGGAAATCTCAAGAACTTGGTTTTAACAATATTTCTAAGAAGAAAAATTACATTGAATATTGGGGGAGACCTAAAGTCCCTATTACATTCTAAGTACATCATCATCAAAATCTATAATATTTTTCCCAACAATTTCCCCCTTTTTGATGATGACAAACAAGTGTTTAAGAGTTCCGGTCGCTGTACTGAGAACTAATTTTATAACTTTCTTTTAGTTTCTCATAACATATAGTTTGTTAACAAAAACTCTTAAACAGATACAATTCAAATTACAATAATTCCTAAACCAAGTCTTGTCTTGAGATTTTGTGATATCTTCCGCCATTGACCGTTTTCAGCTTCAGCAGATTCTGCTTGGCAGAGCGGTTGGCGTTGCGTTTGATAGATCTTTAATATCCAAAGTGGATATTCAAGATCTTGGAAGCAACATATCTCTCAAAAAGCAAAAACAAAAAAAATTTGAAAGACAAGAAAAAATTTTGGAAAAGAGAATTGATTGTGAAAAAGATAAAATAAGGTTTTCAAAGATGAAGGGAAAAATAAAAATTTTGAAAAAGAATTTTAAAGAAAATGCTTGGGAGAAGGGAGCAGAGGCAGCACAAAAATTTAAAAAAAAATTTGTAAGAAGAGTGCGGCGACTACTCAAAAAAAATAAAGTTTAGAAAAAGGGAGAGAGGGAGAGGAAAGAGATCAAGGTAAAAATAAAAAGAAAGAAATAGAGAGAGTGTTGTTCCAGAGAAAGTGTATGGAATAATCCTGAAAAATACGAGAATTACACCATAAACTTTCTCTACTGCCGAGAATTGCACCATAAACTTTAGATTACTTTTCTTCTCACTAGGCTTTTCTCCATTGCCGTCTATGAGGGTGAGAAAGAAGAATTTCTCCATTGAGGATATTTTTCTTGGTGTTTTTCTCAAACAGTGAATTTGAAGACTTTTCAAGTTGAAAGAATTGTTTGTGATGGAAATGGATTGGAATGTCTTGATTTAAATAGGGGAGGAGGAGGTTCACGGGTTCCATTAAGTGAGTAGTTGGAACGGTGAGAGTAAAGGAGTTTCAACTTCCAAGAAGTTGAAAAGTGGAAGGAATCTTTTACCGATTTCCAAGGAATTGAAACTGTTCAAATTTAAAAATCAGTTTCGTTTGGTTTGAGAAACGTAACTGTTTTAGTTTGGCTAAGCCCAAAAGAGTGGCCCAAAAAGAAAAGAAAGCTATGTACTAAAGGGAAATTATTCCTATTGGGTTCTCAAGGCCCAAAATAAAACTATCATTTTTCATTCTCTATAGTTCTAATTTCTACTTAGGACGAGGTAGTACCAAAACAAATATGAATTTTATTTTTAAAAGAAAAGTAGTACCATTTTTCCAAAGTCCTGTACATTATAAAAATCCTAAGGACCAGTACTTTTAGAGCTAGTTGGAAATGAATTGAGGATTGAAGCTTAGTTTAAGAAGGCAGATTTTGTAGAGTACCTGAATCGGAGATTTCCAATTTTAGTACCAAAACTGAGATATCCGTCTTCCATTGCTTAGAGCTCATCAATAATTCATAGCCAAAAACAATTATTAGCCAAAACTAGTTAAGTTCCCCCTGAATGTATGCGCTTCAGAAAACAAATTCTCAAAATCATACTTGAGATAAAGCATAATTAAGCATAATAAGCACAATTAAGAAAATTGTTGAAGCAATGTTTAAATGTTTAAACCAATCAAGCAATGTTTAAGCAGGAAGGTGTTTTCATCAAAGCAAATTAGTGTTTTCACATACTTTCCCCCTGGTTTGATGAAAAGAACCTTCAATTCCTCTTGCGTTTTGAAGATCCGGCAACCTCACTGATGCCCTTCATGTTCCCACACAGTTCTTTGATGCACCTTAAATTTTCACGCCTCTCTTCTGATTGAGCATCATTTGAGAAGTGGTCAACAACTGTGCCTATAAATTCTATTCCATCCAGTTCTGAGCTGGATAGATGCTGTGCTGAGTTTTTCCGGATTTCTTTGCTGTGCTTCAAGGATTAGATTTGTCATGTTCAGATGAGAAGGAATATAAGATGCTTCTCCTTCTTTGACTGCAATAGGGAGCTATGGTATTGGAGATGGGCTGTGTTGTTGGAGAATTACTTCCATCTTGCGGTTCCCAGAATTTGCGCCAATAAGTCTGAACAGCTTGTTTGCTTCCTTTTGATTGTCAATGATTACCTTCAAGTAGTCTTTGGTCACTACCTGATTTGCAGAAGCTACTGCTACGGCTGATCTGATTTCCATTTGGAGAAGAGACATCTGTTTTTGTAGACTAACTATGACACTTGTTATTTGCTCCTTGACGTTGGTGATCTATTTGAGTTGAAGTTGACTGTCAGAGGCATATATTTCCATCGTGTTGCTCACAGTTTCACTCAATAGAGAGATAATCTCCAGAGTCTTGTGCACTGATTTGCTTATTTCTTTGAGATCAGTGTTGTGCTTCTCTTCAGATTTCTCTATAAGCTTGGTGTACTTGGCTTCCATTTGCTCTATCTCTTGCCTAAAGGAGGCATGTTGAGATGCTAGGGCTAGTTCAATCAGCCCTTGGACCTTCTTTGTCCAGATTTCCGGCACAATATCCAGAAGGGTAGGGGTGGAAGTGCTTTGGAAATGAAAATTGGTTACCTGATGAGAGGATGGTGTTCTCCAGAATTCCTTTGGACTTCTACAGCTTGCTCCTCTTCATTTGTTTCTGGAAAAGTTGACTGTTCCAGAATTTCTGCTAACTTCTCCGGGATCTCAGTTTCAGTAGGATTGGAGATCTCACAAGGAGTTGTGAGAATCTCTAAAGCTTGAGACTGGATTAGTTGCTGAAATTCTTCTTCTTCTGCTGTTTTCTGGTTCTTTTCTGGTGGGGGAGAGGCTGCTTTCTCTTGGACAGCTTCAGTCAGAACCATTTCAGAAGCATGTGAGGTTTCCTGAAGGGCAGGTGAGGTTTCCGTTTCAAAGGCAGGTGAGGCTTCCGGAGATGTTTGGAAGTCCTCAACTGTTGCTTCCAAAACTGCTTGTGCTTCAGAAGTGAGAACCACCTGTTCTTCTGTGGCTTTAGAGAAGACTGGTTTGTAGACTGAAGGATCTTCATCATCTACTTCAAATTCTGAAATTGGTGAATTGGCTAGGTATTCCAGATGCAGGTCTTCATGGTTCCTTTGCCATACCCTGTAGTCATCCAAGATTTCTTCACAGCTATGGTTGACTGGTATTCCTAAGCATTTCTTGATGATCTTCTCATTCTTTAGCTGTTGGTCCCAATCCATCAGTTGCTCTGCTGAATTTCCAACTTTCCATCCTCTCCAATCATAGTAGAGCTGCCAGAATTGGTTATCAGCATCATCCATTCGAGGTTGAGTTGAGGAGGTTGGAAGGCTTTGGACTTGAGGGATTTCTTCTTCAAGTTGTTGAGGGCTCCGGTTTTGAGCAGAGGTTTCTTCAGCAGGTTCCTTTGCCTTCAACTCATTCGGATTGACATTTCCAGATGTTGATGGAGAGTTGATCTACCTCTTCTTCTTCCTTTGAAGTTCTCCATGGTCAGAGACTTCTTCTTCTTCCACATTGACCAGAGCAAGGTTCTGTGGTGCTTCAATACTAATGGAAGGAGACACCACTTGCTTCCTTTTGGCAGTCTTTGCCATATGGATGAGTGGGACATTATCTGATGAGCTTTCTTCTGCAGTGGCACTAGCATTAGCTCTGTTTTCTCCTTTGGAGGATAAGTAGTATAGCCAGTATCTGGCTTCATACTTTTTCCCTTTAACTGCAGCGCCCATGGATTCCAAGATATGTCCAATATACAGACCTTGACAGAGATACTTCTGATACACGAAAGGATCTACAAAACTTTACCTAAACTTTTTCACACGTCGGGTCAAATGGAATCAAAACCATTACTCTCTCAACTACTACTTCCGAGAGAGGACCCACTACAGTAGCCGTACTGGAGGTGAAGGTGTAAGCTCCGTCCGCTACTGGTCAAGGTTTTGGTTGAACATTAGCAACAAATGATCTGCTTTCTTCGCCGGGCCAGAAGGAATTTGCCCAGAGATTCCAATGATGTTCCAGTACAGATTTTTGACTGGATGACCGGAAATTGGGAAGGCGAAGCTTTTCTCCCAATTTCTTCTGCGAAAGCTTCACTTTTATACCTCCAACAGTGGACTTGATGACCGGAAACGTCCTCTGTGGGTCCTTCTTTGAATGAGCAGTTTTGACCTCTCCATTTCTGTAGAATTCAAGAACTTCTTCCTCGAATTTGAGGCGAATCTCCATTTGAAGAAATTCGGAGAGTTCTTGAGCGGCCATCATCTCCAGATAGCTTTGAAAGAATGTCGGTGAAGAGCACTTGGCTTCTAACTTCTGAAAATGAATATTAGCGCCGACAACCTTCATTTTCTCAGAAATTTGATTGAGAATTTGAGAGAGAAAGACCTAGGGTTCTTGAGAATTTTTCGCGAAGAAGACGACGAAAAATTTTGAATGGGCGGTTTAGATCTGAATAGTGGCGATTGGGTTTTATTTGGGCGATTTGCGCGGCTGGTGGCGATTGGGTTTTTGACTATTCCCAAGGCCACGTGCCTACCCAATATTTTGACAGACGTGGAAAGTGAACTGCCACGTGTACCGCACTCAGTCTAATTGAATTAGACCAATTTTGTGAAGCAAATCGGAAAACTTGGCTTCACTTAGTGGTTTTGTGAAGATATCTGCCAGTTGTTCTTCAGTTGAGATGTACTCAATTTTCATATCTTTCTTTTCCACATGATCTCTGATGAAGTGATGCTTGACATCAATGTGCTTAGTGCGAGAATGATGCACTGGGTTTTGAGAGATGGCTATAGCACTTTGATTGTCACAAAAGATTGTCACTTCCTTTGTCTTGACTCCATAGTCTAGTAGTAGTTGTTTTAGCCACAAAATCTGAGCACAACAACTACCAGCAGCAATGTACTCTGCTTCTGCTGTTGATGTAGAAATGGAGTTTTGTTTCTTACTGAACCAAGAAACAAGATTTCCACCAATGAATTGACAAGTACCAGATGTACTTTTCCGGTCAACTTTGCATCCGGTAAAGTCAGAATCTGAGTATCCCACTAACTCAAATGAATTGCTCTTAGCATACCACAAACCCATATTCTGAGTTCCTTTGAGGTATCTAAGAATTCTTTTAGCTGCTATCAGATGACTTTCCTTTGGCTTTGACTGGAATCTGGCACAAACACCTACAGCATATGAGATATCCGGACGGCTTGCAGTAAGGTGAAGTAGAGATCCGACAATTCCTCTGTAGAGAGTTTGATCTACATCCTTTCCATCTACATCCATATCAAGCTTGGTGGATGTACTCATGGGGACAGAAACGGATGACTTCAGATCAACTTTGAACTTCTTGATAAGATCCCTTGTATACTTGGCTTGATTGATGAGAGTGCCTTCACTTCTCTGTTTGATTTGAAGGCCAAGGAAGTAGTTGAGTTCCCCCATCATGCTCATCTCAAATTTTCCTTGCATGAGGGTTGAGAACTTGGTGCAGAGATTTTCCTTAGTTGAGCCAAATATGATGTCGTCCACATAGATTTGGACTAATAGGAGATCTTCTCCTTCTTGTAGTTTGAA